TACTACTACTACTACTACTACTACTACTACTACTACTACTACTACTTAACACTGTAGTATTTATTTTATTTTACACACTAACTGTTTTTTTATGTTTTCTCTCACTTGTTTTGGAATGTCATATTTTTACATTGCTGTATTTACTGAAAGGGAAAAAAAGCTATKTACTTTCTCCACCACTGTTGCGTTCAGGCTCAGTGGTACCATCAGGGGGGYGAGCTCCTGGGACGTCCGTGGCTCCGAGGTGATGTGGTGGGTTGCTTGGTGGACATGGCTGACCGCACCATGATGGTCACGCTCAATGGAGAGCTGCTCTTTAATGACAGAGGATCAGAGCTGGCTGCCAAGGATTTTGATATCAGAGATGGTAGACTTTCATGCTTTCTGAGATCTGTCTTTGAATATGAATGACTTAAAATGTGTGTTGTTTGCTTTTTTGTATTTCAAAAATATGATCTCTCCTTGTCTCTTCCAGGCTTGTTGCCTGTGGTCAGYATTGGGGTGAACCAACTGGGACAGCTGAATCTGGGCCGCCAAGTGGACTCTCTGCAGTATTTTAATGTGTGTGGCTTGCAAGAGGGCTTTAAACCCTTTGCCTTTAATATGGCTGGAGACACGGCTCTGTGGATGAGTTGGACACAGCCTCAGTTTACTTCAATCCAGCATGATGATCACAGCTCACAGGTGAGTTCAGTGGTCTGTCAGATTGCTTGTTCTAGCAGCTTTTTGGATTGATTATATTGAGACATCGTTTAGACCTTGTGTTGAACATCGCTCCGAATGCAAAACTCTGATCTTAAAAACAATGTGCAAATCTCCTWCAAGGTTACTAAAGTCAGGGGCTCAGCAGATTCCTTATCCAGCCTGAGGGTGTCTCAGCGGTTGCTGGCTCACCACGGTGGAGGGAGCGAGAYGGGTTTTTATCGCCTCAGCATGCCCATTGAATGTGCTGCTGTACTCCGAAGCCCTGCAGAGGCTGTGCTTCCAGTGGTGGCCAACACTTTACCTCCAAATTCAGGTTCAGTCTTATTCTTCATGTTTAACTGAAGTACAGAGAGGACATTTTAGTTTAGTTTAGCCAGATARCATTGTAACTAATGCAACACTTAAAAATTAATGAGCCATTGGGTGAAATACTAGATTTTGTGTGTGAGGTCTAGCTGCAATTAYCCAGATTTATCCCCTGTCTAGATTACTGATATTGTGCCGTTGTGACCTTGTTGAATTGCTCTGGTTAAGCTCCCCAGGGCCATGCTGTAATTAATGCCTGTTGTGTTTTAGCGAGGAAAGAACCGGAGGACACCGACTCTGACTTTGAAGTTCTGATGAAGTCAGCACATAGCTTTGCTGGCTCAAGAGATGAGCTTAACCACAAGGATCATAGCCATGACAGAACATCAAAACTGAAACAACGGTACGTTGCTAAAGAAAATGTAATAAACTGAGTATCATTTGAAACATTTAAAACTAGGCTCATAGGACTTCAACATACAGGGCAAACTACAAAATGTAGATTTTGTTGACAAGATATCTACACATCGATTCCCCCACCCCCCTGCATGTCCTCACTCTATTCAACTTCAAAATTAATTGGGTAAAGTAATTTGGGTACCACTTTACAATAAGGCTGCCTTTGTAGATGGCTTAAAATACTTTATAGATAGGTTATTAGTTCATCTGTAAACACTTTATACATCATTATTAAGTGTTTATGATGCATTAATTAAGGATGAGAAAGACAAAAATGCCCAGTTTTTGGTCAAATAGTGAGCCAAATCTGTTTGTGTACATATTACATCTAAAGTGCTATATTAAATATTTCAGACTAGGTTACTACCTTGTAAATACAATAATGTATTGGAAACATATATTACATATAATATTGCACTGTTTTATACATGTCCACAACTATCCAAGGTATAGCCTTATTGTAAAGTGTATTTATAAAGCTCCATATGACATTTATACACATTTATTAATCATTAATAAATAGTGTACCTACAGTAAATATGTATTTCCAATACATTATTGTGCTTACAACTTAACCTAGTGTGAAATGTTTAATATAACACTTTATAATATGTGAACAGATTTGGCTCACTATTTGACAAGAAACCAGACATTTTTGTCTCTTTCTTATTCTTAATTAATGCATAATAAACACTTATTAATGATTTATAAAGTGGTTACAGATGAATTAATAGCCTATCTATAAACTATTTACAAGCCGTCTTTAAGGGGAGCCTTRYTRTAAAGTGGTACYGTAATTTGCTCTATTATGTGAAGGTGTGTTTAATAATGATAGAAAAGAGGCACCCAGTTTGGCAACAATTTGACATCAGTGTGTAGTACCAACCTTTTTATTTGCTGCTAACATAAAGGTATTATTTTTATTGAAACATTCAGGCATTCTGCATGTCCAAGATATAGAGATGTGAATTTTATACTAACAAAAAGACCCAGGAGTTCTGAGGTGAATGCTGCTTCATCCTTGCAGAAAGGCTGGAGCGCTCCATCTTCCCTCCAGCAGCAAAGCTGAGTTCCAGTTCATTGCCCGTTTCTTTCTCTCATTTTTTTTCTTTACACACTCTGTGCTGTCTGTGATGTTACAACTTACTCCAGATACCTTTTTTAATTCTTTAAGTTGTAATGCTCAGCTATTTTCAAACTATCTCCAAATCTGTGTGATTGCAATAGTGGCAGGTGTACAATAAGTTCCAGTTGGAACGAGACACAAAATTGAAGACGTGAATGCAGTCAAAAGAATCAATGGTTCAGGCTCTCTGCTTTACCACAATTACTTGTCATCTGCGAAGAATGATTGCTCTTTGTTGGAGTTTTGTTTCTGTTTTCTATAAGGTTTTTGCTCAAGAAGACAAAACCGGGCTTAGTTAGCAGTAACTCCTCTGCAAGGCTTCTTGAAGACGTCATTGTTGAAAAAGACAGCTATGATCATCTCATACAGAGCTCCAGAGTAAGATATCTTATTTTCTCTCTTTTGTCTCATCCCATCACAACCACACAAATGCGCTAAATATAGAAATTGCTAATTAAAACAATGCAGACAATTTTGCATTGTGGATGTATTTAGTCATCTTTCTAATTCAAAGTGCACAAGATTAAACCAATTACATTGGAATGCAGTTCTTTGCCAATTCATACCTAAAAAAAGCATGATTTGAATGTCAAACAGTGACACTTATTGACCTCACTGTTTTAGTTTTACTATTCAGTGAGGGTTCTTCCAGGCCAGGAGCCATTCAACGTGTGGGTAGGATGGGTGACCTCTGACTTCCATCGGTACGACATGACATTCAACAGCGACAATGTTGACACTGTGACTGTCACCCTCGGTGATGAAAGTGGCAAAGTTCAGGACAGGTTTGTGTGCCATAATATTTAATTTTCCTCCCTATAGAATGCAGAAAAAACTGTCTGTTGAGTACCAGCGTGATTACACTTCCTTTACCTGAACTACTGTGCTGTGAAATTATTTTCATTGTACTGCTGAATAGCTTAATTATTATTATTTTTTTTTGTATTACACTTTGGAGTGAATTTGCATTAAACTGTTAATTGAAYATACCCCAATTCTTTTGCACAGTGTGAAGCGATGCAGCTGTTACATGGTGTGTGCTGGGGAAGCCACAGGCCTGTCTCAAAGTCGACGGAGTGCAGGCCTTGAAATTGGCTGTTTGATAGACACAGCAACAGGGCTGCTCACCTTTACATCCAATGGCGTGGAAATGTTGACTTTCTACCAAGTAAACTATTATGATCTGACCTTTATTTCTCCTTACTACTCAGTATTTTTATGCGTAATGCCTTTATGTTTATTTATTACATAGAAACCCTTAGAATTTGAGAATGTATAACTTTGGAAAACTGTATATTTTTAGTTTGTAGTTAACTATTTACTTGCATTGTTAATCTGACTAAACTACTTTTTCACCCAAACCAGGTTGAGGCCGGTACCAAGTTGTTTCCTGCTGTTTTTGTCAAACCCACAACCAGTGACATGTTTCAGTTTAATTTGGAAAGTATCAAGGTAATACATTAGAGTAACAGTAAATAATCACAAGTATTTTTAATGTCCCTTTTTATGACTTTACTTCACACTGAGTTCACTTCATGACGGTAACATGAGCTTTACTATATTTGGTCTGGGTTTTTTATGATTGTATATGTGCTTGTTTTTGTTATTGTTGTGTCCTCACACTGGCTATGGAACCCATGTTCACTGTGATTTTACAGTGACAGAAGACTTGTACCAATCTCTCATAAGATTCTTGGATTTTCATCATTTAAATTCATACTGCATTTGTTATCTTGTTCCAGAATGTGATGCCGCTGTCGTCAGGTTTGCTTCGCAGTCAAAGAAGGAATCCCAGTCCTCAGTGCCCTCCAAGGGTAAGGGTCCAGCATCTTAGACCTGTTTCATGGACCAGAGTACCAGACAGTGGATTAAAGGTGCTGGTAGACCGACTTGATGAGCACCATGGTTGGAGAGTCCAATGTTATGAGCCCCAGCAAGTCTTGACTCTTCAGATTCCTGATGAATGCAGGTAAATAAATAAAATAAATAGACAAATAAGGATTTAGCACAGTTGCAGGCTGTGGAACTTGTAGTTGGTACTCATGTTTCACTGTGATCTGTTGTTTAGTTGTTGCAGCAAATGCCGTAAATTAATTCCACTTTTTCCAGGGTTTAATTAGATTTTGTGCCAGCAACAACAGTGAAATTGTGTTTTTGATGACATTCAGGTCTGTTGACATTTTGGAGCTGTCGGAACTAGATGACCTCCTGACCTTTCACCATAATACCCTCCTCCTCTACTGCTCTTTATGTGCCCTTGGCAACACCAGAGTTTGCCATGCCCTCTGCAGTCACATCGACCAGTCGCAGGTTCTTTATGCCATTCAGAATCCTCACCTTCCTGGCCCGATCCGCTCTGCATTTTATCAGCTGCTTATTCAGGTACCTGCTTGTTGGAGTTCGTGTGTTTTTATGAATATCATCAGTTGACAGGCAAACAAATAGTACCTAGAAAATTAATGACATAATACTGATTATGTTTGTCGTTCAGGTTTACCTAAGCAGCTACACCACAACGTGTCTAATGATGATCCATGAGTACATTGTTCCTATGACCAGTCAGACCACACACAACTCTCTCTACCTCAGTCCTACTGRTGATGGCCTCGATGGGGAGAATGGTCAGTTTGCAGAAGGCATTCCCAGCACCAGTTGCAGCACATCTCTTAAACCAAAGATGCATTTTTCATCTCCCTGTTTTATCAGGGGAAATGGGATGGAAGCAGAAGGTGCAGGTGAAATGGCCTGCACTGACAGCCCAGAAATCCCTCTGGACATACTGAAGAATCTGACAGTGGAAATGTTGACTGCTGGAGTTTTGGCTGTGAATCAAGCTGTGAGGGATCCTGCTGGTGGCGATGTTGAACATCTACTTGTTCCTCTTTTAAAACTGTTGTACAATCTTCTGGTCATGGGCGTTGTTGGCGATGAGGTTCTTGGGCTGATTGACACAAACATATTCTCTTCAAATGCTGAAACCCTTGAGGATGAGAAAGAGGAAACTATTGATGAACAAGAAACAAAACAAAATGACTTCCTTAAACAAGGACTTCTTCAGATGAAGCTTCCAGAAGCTGTCAAACTTGAGGTGAAAAAAAATTAACAGATTCTTCTGTATGATGCTCTTTTCCAATCATTAATAATAGCTAAAGCTAACTTCTCTAGGTGTATAAAATTATTCGCAATTTTTTTTTCCATTTCTAGCTCTGCCATTTACTGTCCTACTTGTGTGATTGCCAAGTGCGCCACAGAGTAGAAGCTGTGATTGCTTTCTCAGACAACTTTGTGCATCAGCTGCAAGAGAACCAACGTTGTCGCTACACTCAGGTCATGCAGGCACTCAACATGTCTGCAGCGCTCACTGCTCGCAAGACGAAGGAGTTCCGCCTACCTCCACAGGAGCAGGTTGAATAGACTTTTTAAATAGCATTATTAATGTCAATAAATTAATCAGAATACAATGTTTGATTTCTAGTTTGGTTCAGGGGTCACCAGCCTTTTTGAGACAGAGTTATTTCAGGGGTACTGAGTAAGACAAAGGGCTACTTGTTTGATACAAACATAAATCAGCACAGATCACCTTTAATGATTGTATTAATAATACATTTATATATGTGAATATTTCACTACCTAATGGCATTGTAATGTTCAGGAATCCTCATGATTAATAATAATTTACTGTGGCAGATGTGGTAAATCATTTTTATTAAAAATAAGTACTTTCAACTCTGCAGCAGCAAAGAGATCTTAGTCCGGAGTTTTCGGTTAGAATCCGTTTTGGGGCTCTTCTGTGCAGCTGTAAGTGTGAGTGTGAGTGTGGTTCATCTCTTTGTCTGTGGACTGGAGACCTGTCCAGGTGGGACAGAGGGTGAGACGAGATTTGGAGAGAGCAGAGCAGGAGGAGTAAATTAGCTGTTTACTATGTGTTTAGCATGGGATGTGGTTGTAACAGCAGCCCCTGTTGTCATTATGTGAGGGGTGTTTTGTTAATTTAGTCTCTAAAGAGCTCACAGACAACTTTTTGCATCTTTTGTGCACACTGAGAGGTGTTACATTAGTATTTAGTGCGCTGCTCCTATGATGAGTGCTATTTTTAGAATGTGTCCTGCGGGCAACTCACGAGGCCCCCACGGGCACCATGTTGGTGACCCCTGTAATAGTTCCCAACAACATGTTTTTAATATTTTTACCATATTATCTGCTTTTTTGTCTGTTTTGTGTGTGTGTCAATCATGACATATCAAAAGATCAACATGCTGCTGAGCTTCAGAGAGGAYGAGCAGAAAGGGAACTGTCCGTGTCCAGCTGAAATCCAACAGCTCCTGCAAGACTTCCATCATCTCCTCAACACACACTGCGGTGGGAGCACTGCTAAGTCTTTCACTTCTGCAAAATGAGTTTTATTAAACTAGGGAACTATAAAAACTTTGTGAAAGCACTTAGTATAATTGCTTTTGAGAGCACAAAAACTCTATCTTATTTTGCTGCTGCTGTGCAGGCACAGAACTCAACTCTGACTCAGAGGATAAAGACACYGTTAAGATGCCTTTGAAAGATCAACTTGTCAGTTTTCTGACGGGACTCGTTGGACATAAAACGACTTCCAGTGAAATGAAGGCGTTTAAATCACACAGTCCTAGTAAGATTGTCTTATTTTGTCTCAGACAATTCTCTAGGATCCTCTGCTTCTACCATTACTTTTCTAATGCTGGCATGTCTGCAGGGTCCCTCAAACAGCTGATTTCTGAGACGATGGTGTGCTGGACTCAAGAGAGTGAGATAGCAGACTCTGAGCTGGTTAGGGCTATCTTCTCATTGCTGCACCACCAGTATCAGGGCCTCAGGGGCCAAATGGAGAAGCCTCTCTCAAAGGCTTATGCTATCAGCCACTCGTCAGTTGAGGATGCTATGGCACTCTTGACCTCCTTGGGTCAAATTCGATCTCTCCTGAGTGTCCGCATGGGGAAGGAAGAAGAGAAGCTGATGATCAAAAGACTAGGGTAGGCAGAGAGGCAGTTAGGATCCCATTTACTCCTATTTGTTTTGACAAAATTCTAATGCAAAGCGTAACCTGCTGTGAAAGTATTTGTTTTTATATTTATTTTTGATCATGTATACAGAGATATAATGAACAACAAAGTCTTTTACCAACACCCCAACTTAATGAGGGCATTGGGGATGCATGAGACTGTGATGGAGGTGATGGTCAATGTTCTGGGAGAAGGAGAGTCAAAGGTGGGTGTTTATGAAACAAGTCATCCGCTATTAAGTGTGAATATTCTGTGATTTATTTTTACATGTCTGAATCTTCTTGTTTCAGGAGATTACCTTTCCGAAGATGGTGGCAAGCTGCTGTCGATTCTTGTGTTATTTTTGCCGCATCAGTTGTCACAATCAAGGGGCGCTTTTTGACCACCTCAGCTATTTGTTAGAAAACAGCAGTGTTGGGCTAGGTAATTTCTGTCTCCTCACTTGTTTTCTGTGTTTAGACCTTTAAGATGTGACATTATGCAAATGTTAAATCAGTGCTCACATTATTTAGCATCTTTTGTCTCATAGCTTTACCATCCATGCGTGGCTCCACTCCTCTTGATGTAGCAGCAGCCTCTGTAATGGATAATTATGAACTGGCTTTAACTCTGAGGGAACCCGACATAGAGAAGGTTTGAGATTTTCATTCAGCATGGAGGAAACTAATTTTGAATGAACAAGAAGCTCTCTTCATGCCATGTTTACAGGGTTTATAACAATTAATTAAGGTGTATATAACGCACACCAGCATGCAGCTTCCTGCAGCATTTTGTGTTAATATAATCTGTTATTTCCAGGTGGTTCAGTACCTTGCTGGATGTGGTCTCCAGAGCTGTTCACTGCTGGTGGCAAAAGGTTACGCTGATATTGGATGGAACCCTGTGGAGGGCGAGCGTTATCTGAATTTTCTACGCTTTACCGTCTTTTGTAATGGTAGATGATGTGTTTTTCTCTTCTGTGGACTATGTAGTAAATGTCCAACAATTTTAACATGTTCTGCAGTTCTAGTTATGTTATTTTAATATATTTTTAACTAAAAAATACTTTATTGTTAAATTTAGTTATTTATTTATTTTTTGAATTTCAGTGCACTTTTGATCCATGCATCACAAGGAAATCATTGTTTACAGGAGCTCAGTATTTCCTACAGTGCTGAGAGCAAAAGTCACAGCTGAAAAGGGACAATTAGTGGCATCCTTTCATGTTCTTCTCCATTAACCTTGCCATTTCATTCCTTTATTGATTATCTTTCGTCTAAAGTTAAAAGTCATTGCCCTAAATGTACAGTATTTATAGTTTAGCCAAACGAATCAAGCTTTACCTCTTCATATTGTGCCATATAAATCAAAATTATATATAT